GAAATCTGACATCTGAAATACTAGTCTGAAATTCTAAAATATTGTTCTAGAGTGCGGAAGCAAATATAAATTCAAACATCGAGACCAACATGCAGCAATCGAACATAAATAAAGCACAATTAATTCAAATAATTCAAAACATGACATAACACAAATATCTTGACTGATGACCACCACCACATATCCGGCTCACGCTGCACGCGGGACTCCGTCACCTGAAAAAGAGGGTAGTGGGGAGGCGTGAGCACAAATGAATCAACGGTGCTCCGCCGGGACTGGTACTGATATACTCAGCACAATTAATAACAAACTATGAAATCAACATATATATGAAAAAACTGGCCTGGCTATGGGACTAACGGTAAACCAGTACTCATGTGCACACTCTGGGGGTCCCCTCCCACAGAAATCCAGGAAAGGCACTAATCACCCCATCTGGACGCTAGACTTAGGACGGGCCCTAATCACACACATCCAAGTCATAACTGAAATACTGAAATATTGACAAGGACGGGATCACTCATCCGTCTCGGTCCTTCAATTTAAACACATATAGATCTCAGACATGGTAAATTATTAAAAGCGATGAAATACACAGTACGTGGTCCCCATCTGAAAACTGGCGAAAGCGAATGCTGAATATATCTGAAATGGGTAGCTGATGGAGGCTCGACTCTCCTCAAGCTACAAAATATATTGAGCGAAATATTCTAAGTACTAGGCTCAAAATAAAACTCAAATCTTTAATATCTTATATATCTAGGTTCGCTCAATCGGCTTTAAAAAAATCATTTTAGGGATTTACGAGCTGATTTTGAAAATATTATCGTCGTTGAGGCATTCTAGAGTTCTCTGAAATATTTCTAAGTCTGGGACTAGGATCTGACTTAATCTAATCTGACTGAAATCTAAACTATATCTGAATCTTAACTCTATCTGAAATTCTTAACTTTATCTGAAATCTTAATCTGACTGCATCTTAAATTTATCTGACATTCTATCTGAAATATATTTTGAACAGTCCGGGCTGACCGGACCGGTTCGACTGAACTGGACCGATGGCTCACTCGGAGCCGGTCGATCATCCGCTTGACTATGTGCAGCTCGGTTCGAACGTGGTTCGAGTTCGGCGGGGCAACTCGGGCCGGCACAAACTCGACTGACACGGCTTAGCCGATGCACGAGTTTAAAACGGTGCCACGGTCACTGACGCAGGGGAGTGCTTGGACCACGGCTAATGGAACGACGCGTAGACGACAAGTCGGATGGACTCAGTGCACGGGCACGCACTCGGGGGTTTTACTCGGACTCGGTGCACGGGCACGCACTCGGCGGCTCAGCTCCAACGGTCGGACGAGAGGCGATCATGGGCACGAGAAGACGATACGCATTACGAATTATGCTACAACGATTAAAGATTATCTAGACGGTACTAGGGTTCAGACAATTATAATCGGATCCGGAAAAATACCCGGTTATCGGAACCGGATAAGACTAGGGTTCGGTTCTCAAAGAATTTTAACTCATTTAAGGCCGATAATTCATATACATATTCTATGCGATTTATAATAAATCTATAATCCACTACTGCAGCTAAAATCTCAATCAAACTAATATTTTATTTTTACGGCATTAATATCTAAAGTCCCGATTTTTATAACTAAGTCAAACAACCTCCAAAATTTACGAAAATCGAAACATAACATCCTCAATATATGTATGGTCCACGGTCAACAAATCAAGTCTAAAGTCAACTCCTAGACTAGTGAACCAAAAATCGCTACGACCGATCAAATACACATAAAACCGGTTCGCCTATCAAACGAACACCAAAAATTCTCAAATTTCAACCTAAGCCTCAAAACGACGCAATGAATTTTATAATATTTATTCAACATTTTATCGCATTTGTTTAAAAAGTCAAACATATTAGCTTTAAGCCCGAAAAATCCCGATTTATTCAAAATCGCTCAAATCACCCAATTCATTATTTTTATATCATCTCAAATATTTTATCTAAGCCATTAAAATCGAGTTCTAGTGATTATACCTCACAATGCTAAAAAACAAGTGGGTCGGGATAGCACAATAGTAGATCGGGCTAGAACCGGGTCAAGAAAACCAAATGGTTTCGGATCTTGAGCTGTGGGGATGGGTTCTTGGGCTGAGGGCTGCTGTAACCGGACTCAAGGTGTTGCTGGTCGCGCGTGAACAGTAGCCGCGAGTCCTGTGGCGTGAAATCGTCGGAAAAAGCTGGTGGCTGGCCGTGAACTTGCTGCTGTCCGGCTCGGAGGTGCTGAACCAGCTGGAACCGGAGCTGGTGGCGCGTGGGCTTGAGCTGGTTGTGAACGGCGAGGGACAGAGGTGATTCGCCGGAAGTTGCTGGGGCTTGCGTCGGTCGCGGGCGGAGCTTTGGTCGGGAGTCGCGCAAAGGAGCTGCTCGTCGTTGGGTTCGGGCCGTGGATTTGTGAGAGGAGCTGCAGGTCGCCGGCGTGAGTGACTTGGGAAGGCAGCGGAGAAGCTGCGAGCTCGGGCTGGACGAACAGTGGCGTGAAGGGCTGGGACTGAAGTGATACGCGCGAGCTTGACTGTGGAGGGCTGCGAACCGACTAGGCTTGGACTGTGGTGACGGGCTGAGCTAGGGCTGAGGAGGGGATGCGGGTTTTGCCGGGATTTCGCCGGAAAACCGGGAGTGGTGGCCGTATTTTCGGAGCTCAAGCCATGGACAAGCTTTGTTCTTGATATGGTAGGATATATGTTGAATATGATGATGTTTTCTTTAATTTTTTAAGGCTAGATCCTGAAAATGGTGCTTGGATCTTGAAAGAGGAGAGGTATGAGATGATGAATAGAAAAATGTAGGCTAGGGTTTGGATGTTGGGAAATAGGAGACAACCTATTTATAGAAGGTGTAGGGGAGTTTAGGGTTTTCTCCCTTAATGGGCTCAAAACCAGGCCTTTAAAATCCTACGAGTTGGGCTCGAATATAAATCGGATATGAACTTAGGAAATTAAATGCTCGGGCTTGCTAAATAATATTAATCGAACTAGGACTAATTAAATTGGTCTGTCGAAATAATTACTAATAATGGGCCCGGAATTAAAATTGACTGTTTGCTTTATTTTAAAATGGACTGGAATAAAATCGGACTTGGGCTCGATATAATTACATTATCCGGCCTCGGTTCGCTTAAATAAAATTCCGACTTTAATAATTAAAGTCGAATTAATTATTCATGGCTTAGACTTTAATACTAATTACTTAATTTAATACAAATAAATATAATAAATGCATCAAATTTAGAAACTTAATATTTATGGAAATATAGTCGAGCTCCATAAATAGTAATATAAAAATCTGGGCGTTACAATCTATCCTCCTTAAAATATTTCCGTCCTCGGAAATTCCAAAACTAATCATAAGTCCGACTTGACTATAAACTAGGAATCGAAAATACATAGTACTAATCAGAACTGGAAATCAGGATAACGAGCACGAATCTCCTCCTCTCGCTCCCACTTGGCCTCGGCCTCGCCGTGGCGAGTCCACTGGACTCGAACGAGCGCTACATCTCTACTCCTCAGCTGCTGAACCTTTCGGTCTAAAATAGCAATCGGCTGCACCTAGTACGTCAGGTCCTGCCCGACGTCTAGCTCACTGTAACTCAACACGTGCGCTGGGTCATACACGTAATCCTTCAGCATCGAAACGTGGAAGATGTTGTGCACACCCGAAAGCTCGGGTGGCAACGCCAACCGGTATGCGGCCTCACCCACTCGCTCGAGGATCTCGAATGGGCCTAAGAAACGGGGCTGCAGCTACCCCCTCTTCCCGAAGTGGACCACGCCTCTCAAAGGCGTGATCTTCAGGAATGCCTTATCTCCCTTCTCGAACTGGATATCTCATCTACGCTGGTTAGCGTAACGCTTCTGTCGATCCTGTGCCACCTTCATCCACTCACGGATCAAGGCGACCTTCTCCACCGTGTCCTCGATCAGCTTCGGACTGAGAACCTGCCGTTCGCCGACCTCATCCCAATAAAGGGGTGATCGACACTTGCGACCGTACAACGCCTCGTACGGTGCCATCTTGATCGACGCCTGATAGCTGTTGTTGTACGCGAACTCAATCAACGGCAACAACTCCTCCCATGAACTACCACGGTCCAGAACACATGCTCGAAGCATGTCCTCGAGTGTCTGGATGGTCCGCTCCAACTGTCCGTCGGTCTGCAGGTGGAAAACGGCACTGAACCTCAACTGTGTCCCCACGGCCTCGCTGAGGCTCTTCCAGAACTGACTGGTAAAACGGGGATCTCGATCTGACACTTTGACCTTGGCGACTCCATGAAGTCGCACTACCCCGCTGATATAGATACTCGCGAGCTGCTCCATGGACATCGTCATCCGCACGGGCAAGAAACGAGCCGACTTCGTCAGTCGGTCCACAACTACCCAAACCGCATCATGCTGCTCCCTCGATTTGGGTAGTCCCATAACGAAATCCATGGTACGCTCCTTCCACTTCCACAGTGGGATCTCCAAGGGCTGCACTAAACCCGGTGGAAACTTGTGCTCGGCTTTCACCTGCTGGCAAACCAAGCACTTCTTCACAAACTCAGCAACATCTCTCTTCATGCCCCTCCACCCAAACGACCCTTTCAGGTCGTGGTACATCTTGGTGCTGTCGGGGTGCGCCAAATAGGGTGCACTGTGAGCCTCGGTCAAGATCTCCTTCCTCAGGGTCTCGACATTCAGCACAACGAGCCTTCCCTTATACTCCAAGGCACCATCTGCGCCTCGGTAAAACCCCTCTACGCCCTCGGCAACAACCTTTGCCCTCATGGAACAGACGAACTCATCAACGGACTGATCTCTCCGAACTCGATCTCGGAGCATGGGCCACACTCTCATCGACCGAACACCTCCTACTACACGCATCGTAGGAAGTGACTCGACGACGTCTAACTGCATCCGAGCGAACTCTCAAAGGAGCTGACTCTGCTGGGTGATCATGCAAGTCAACTCGCCCCTCGCCTTTTGGCTATGGGCATCAGCTACCACGATCGCCTTCCCCGGATGATACTGAATGGTGAAATCATAATCCTTCACTAGCTCCAACCATCGCCTGTGGCGCATGTTGAGCTCCTTCTGCGTGAAGATATACTGCAGACTCTTGTGATCGGTGTAGATCTCACACCGACTACCATACAAATAGTGCCTCCATATCTTGAGTGCGTGAACAACGGCCGCTAACTCAAGGTCGTGAGTCGGGTAGTTCTCCTCGTGGGGCTTCAGCTGCCGCAAAGCGTATGCGACAACCTTGCCCTCCTGCATCAGCACGCACCCAAGTCCCTGATTCGAAGCATCACTATAGATAGTGAAACTCCGTGTAGGGTCCGGTATATTCAGCACGGGCGCTGTAGTCAACCTCTCCTTGAGCTCCTGAAAGCTCGACTCACAGCGACGACTCCACTCAAACTTAGCCCCTTTCCTTGTCAAACGTGTCAAGGGTAAAGCTATCTTCGAAAACCCCTCAATGAACCTCCTGTAGTAGCCTGCTAACCCGAGAAAACTCCGTATCTCGGTAACGGACCTCGGTGCTGACCAGTTCCTCACTGCCTCGATCTTCGTGGGATCGACCTCAATGCCCTCGGCCATAACGATGTGACCGACGAACGCCACTCGATCGAGCCAAAACTCGCACTTCGAGAACTTGGCGTACAGTCTCTCCCGTCTAAGAGTCTCCAACACGATCCTCAAATGCTCCTCGTGCTGGGCTGCGCTCCTCGAGTAGACCAAAATGTCATCTATGAATACGATGACAAACTGATCCAAGAATGGGTGGAAGACACGATTCATGAGATCCATAAACACCGCCGGCGCATTGGTCAAGCCAAATGGCATCACGACAAACTCATAGTGACCGTATCGGGTGCGAAACGCGGTCTTAGCCACGTCAGAGTCCTTGATCTTCAGCTGGTGGTAGCCCGATCGCAAATCTATCTGGGAAAATACACGGGCGCCCCTCAGCTGGTCAAACAAATCCTCGATCTTGGGGAGTGGATACTTGTTCTTCACCGTCAACCGGTTCAAGTCCCGGTAATCGATGCACATACGCAAAGTCCCGTCCTTCTTCTTCACGAAAAGGACATGTGCTCCCCACGGAGAGACGCTCGGTCGGATGAAACTGAGACTCAGTAGCTCCTGGATCTGAGCCTTCAGCTCCTGAAGCTCCTTCGGCGCCATACGATACGGCACTTTCGACATTGGCCCGACTCCAGGCACCAGGTCGATCGTGAACTCCACCTGACGACTAGGTGGTCCTCCCGGTAGCTGATCTGGAAAGACGTCCACGAAATCACGCACAATGGGTACATCTCCGGGCATCCGCTCCTCTGAAGGTTCCCCGACTATGCTCACCAGGTATCCCTAGCAATTCCCTCTCTGCAAACACTTAGTCGCCTTCGCCATCGAAATGACTCGGGGTAGGGTCCTTGCCTTCATCCCGAAGAACGTGATACGATCTCCCTCGGCTAAGTGTAGTGTCACCTCTCTATCACGACATCGAATGTCTGCCTGATATCTCTCCAACCAATCCATGCCGAGAATGAGGTCAAAGTCCCTCATCTCGATCACGAACGCATCCACCTCTAAAGTTCTGCCACCAATACTCATACTAAGATCCTCGACCAAGGAGCTCGTAACTATCTTCCTCCACGAAGCTAGGCTGATCTCGAGGGGGTTGATGACACTCACTCCTCGGACTCCTATGGCCTCTAGACACTTGGCCGAGACGAACGAATGTGTCGCCCCGGTGTTGAACAACGCAAAGATAGGCACATCACACAAAGAAATCATCCCGGACATGGTACCTGGCTGCTCGGCGGCCTGTGCCTGGTCAAGTGCGTAGACGCGTGCTGGTGCTCCACGTGGCTGGTTCGGGGCCGACTGACGCTGACCCTGCTGGCGCTGAACTCTGTCTGGGCAATCTCTCCTCAAGTGTCCGGGTCTACGACAGTGGAAACAAATGCCTCGTCCCGCAAGACACTCACTGGTATGATGGCGTCCACAGGTAGCGCAGGCTGGGGCAATCTGCTGAACTGGCTGTACGGCCTGAGCTGGGGCCTGATCTCTCTGTCGGACCCTCCTACCCTGTCGGTCCCTCCCCCTCCTCTTGTTCTGACACTGTGGCTGCTGGGGAGGAGCCAGCTGCGGTGGGGCCTGCTGTGCTGGCTGCTGTGCAGGCTGCTGAGCCGGTGGCTGGTGAGCTGGCTGACGGGCGGCGCGAGTACGGATGGCCTCCAGTCGGAGACTCTCATCAATCTGCTGAGCACTAGAAACAGTCTCAACATAAGTCAGGGTGCCATGGCCCGCGAGATGGTGGCGAATCTCCCCGCGAAGACCGCCCTTGAAGCGCCTCGCCCTCGTCTCCTCCGTATCAATCAAGTACGGCACGAAGAAGCCGAGGCGAGTGAAGTCTCTCTCATACTCGTCGACAGTCCTAGCACCCTGCTCCAGTGCTAAGAATTGTCTCTCCATCCTCTCTCTGTAGTGGGCCGGGTAATACTTCTCCCGGAGGAGCGCCTTCAGACCAGCCCAAGTGAGGTCCAGCTTCTTCCCGGGTCGCATCTCCCAGTACGAATGCCACCAGAGACCTGCATCCCCTATCAACTGTAGTTGTGAACACATGATCCTGTGAGGCTCGGGGCAGTCCATTACCTCAAAAATCATGTCAAGGCTGCGCAGCCACTCATCGACCAGCCTCAGGTCTCCCTGCCCATTGAACGTCGCAGGGTGGTACCCGCGGAACTGAGAAACTGAAAAGGACTAGTCGCACACTGGCGCGACCGGCAGGGGCGGTGGTGCATGCGGAGCTGGTTCGGGCGAGGCCCGTGCTCGGCGTGGAATCGGGACTCGACGAGGAGGCATTTGAATGGTCAAATGACAGGGATTAGCAGAAAATATTGAATATTTGACGAAGAATTAATTACTCAAGAAAGTTAACAGAAATTCTCAAAGTTAACTATCTCTGCTGAGATTCTAGCTGAAGTAGTATAGCCGATTAATAAATAGCTACACTATACTTTAATAAGTTATCGAATTCCGAAAACATCTAGCTTGGCTAGAGTTCCAGGTACACTAAAATCATCTAAGTCCTTACTAGAGTTCTGACTAGAATTCTCAAATCTTAATCGAAGGATAGATCTAACGCCCCTGAAATAATCTAACTATAATTAAATATGCATTTGCAAATAAAAGCTGTACATGTGACGTACCTTGGAGTCGGCGTGGCGTGAGCGTGGTGTGGTCATATCTCACTAAAATTTCAGTATACAGAACCACTAAGTGGCTCTGATACCAACTGTAACACCCCGCCTAAACTTACTAAAATCAGAGTAAATTTTTCGCGCTATAAATGGAAAGCACTTATTTAATTTTCGAAAACTCATATTAATTTTTTTGAAAATACTTTAACTTTAAAACGCGGGATGCTACTCAACTTTAATCTTATATCTTTATCTCTTTAATCTATCATTCATGCGACCAAGTAAATTCATTCTAGAATTAAGGCCATGAATAATACCGGATAACACATGCATATCTGAAAATCTGACATAATCTGACATCTGAAATACTAGTCTGAAATCTGACATCTGAAATACTAGTCTAAAATTCTGAAATATTGTTCTAGAGTGAAAAAGCAAATATAAATTCAAACATCGAGACCAACATGCAACAATCGAACATAAATAAAGCATAATTAATTCAAACAATTCAAAACATGACATAACACAAATATCTTGACTGATGACCACCACCACATATCCGGCTCACGCTGCACGCGGGACTCCGTCACCTGAAAAAGAGGGTAGTGGGGAGGCGTGAGCACAAAGGAATCAACGGTGCTCCGTCGAGACCGGCACTGATATACTCAGCACAATTAATAACAAACTATGAAATCAACATATATATGAAAAAACTGGTCTGGCTATGGGACTAACGGTAAACCGGTACTCATGTGCACACTCTGGGGTCCCCTCCCACAGAAATCCAGGAAAGGCACTAATCACCCCATCTGGACGCTGACTTAGGACGGGCCCTAATCACACACATCCAAGTCATAACCGAAATACTGAAATATTGACCAAGACGGGATCACTCATCCGTCTCGGCCCTTCAATTTAAACACATATAGATCTCAGACATGGTAAATTATTAAAAGCGATGAAATACACAGTACGTGGTCCCCACCTAGAAACTGGCGAACGCGAATGCTGAATATATCTGAAATGGGTAGCTGATGGAGGCTCGACTCTCTTCAAGCTACAAAATATAATGGGCAAAATATTCTAAGTACTAGGCTCAGAATAAAACTCAAATCTTTAATATCTTATATATCTAGGTTCGCTCACTCGGCTTTAAAAAAATCATTTTAGGGATTTACGAGCTGATTTTGAAAATATTATCGTCGTTGAGGCATTCTCTGAAATATTTCTAAGTCTGGGACTAGGATCTGACTTAATCTAATCTGACTGAAATCTAAACTATATCTGAATCTTAACTCTATCTGAAATCTTAGTCTGACTGCATCTAAAATTTATCTGACATTCTATCTGAAATATATTTCGAACAGTCCGGGCTGACCGGAACGGGTCGACTGAACTGGAACGACGGCTCACTCGGAGCCGGTCGATCATTCGCTTGACTATGTGCATCTCGGTTCGACCGTGGTTCGAGTTCGGCGGGGCAACTCGGGCCGGCACGAACTCGACTGACACGGCTTAGCCGATGCACGAGTTTAAAACGGTGCCACGGTCACTGACGCAGGGGAGTTCTTGGACCACGACTAATGGAACGACGCGTAGACGGCAAGTCGGATGGACTCGGTGCACGGGCACGCACTCGGGGGTTTGACTCGGACTCGGTGCACGGGCACACACTCGGCGGCTCAGCTCCAACGGTCGGATGAGAGGCGATCACGGGCACGAGACGAAGATACGCATTACGAGTTATGCTACGACGATTAAAGATTATCTAGACGGTACTAGGGTTCAGACAATTATAATCGGATCTGGAAAAATACCCGGTTATCGGAACTGGATAAGACTAGGGTTCGGTTCTCGAAGAATTTTAACTCATTTAAGGCCGATATACATGTTCTATGTGATTTATAATAAATCTATAATCCACAACTGCAGCTAAAATCTCAATCAAACTAATATTTTATTTTTACGGCATTAATATCTAAAGTCCCGATTTTTATAACTAAGTCAAACAACATCCAAAATTTACGAAAATCGAAACATAACATCCTCAATATATGTATGGTGCACGATCAACAGATCAAGTCTAAAGTCAACTCCTAGACTAGTCAACCAAAAATCGCTACGACCGATCAAATACACATAAAATCGGTTCGCCTATCAAACGAACACCAAAAATTCTCAAATTTCAACCTAAGCCTCAAAATGACGCAATGAGTTTTATGATATTTATTCAACATTTTATCGCATTTGTTTAAAAAGTCGAACATATTAGCTTTAAGCCCGAAAAATCCTGATTTATTCAAAATCGCTCAAATCACCAAATTCATTAATTTTATATCATCTCAAATATTTTATCTAACCCATTAAAATCGAGTTCTAGTGATTATACCTCACAATGCTCGAAAACGAGTGGGTCGGGATAGCACAATAGTAGATCGGGCTAGAACCGGGTCAAGAAAAACAAATGGTTTCGGATCTTGAGCTGTGGGGATGGGTTCTTGGGCTGAGGGCTGCTGTAACCGGACTCAAGGTGTTGTTGGTCGCGCGTGAACAGTAGCCACGGGTCCCGTGGCATGAAATCATCGGAAAAAGCTGGTGGCTGGCCGTGAACTTGCTGTTGTCCGGCTCGGAGGTGCTGAACCAGCTGGAACCGGAGCTGGTGGCGCGTGGGCTTGAGCTGGTCGTGAACGGCGAGGGACAGAGGTGATTCGCCGGAAGTTGCTGGGGCTTGCGTCGGTCGCGGGCGGAGCTTTGGTCGGGAGTCGCGCGAAGGAGCTGCTCGTCGTTGGGTCGGGCCGCGGATCTGTGAGAGGAGCTGCAGGTCGCCGGCGTGAGTGACCTGGGAAGGCGGCGGAGAAGCTGCAAGCTCGGGCTGGACGAACAGTGGCGTGAAGGGCTGGGACCGAAGTGATACGCGCGAGCTTGACTGTGGAGGGCTGCGAACCGACTAGGCTTGGACTGTGGTGACGGACTGAGCTAGGGCTGAGGAGGGGATGCGGGTTTTGCCGAGATTTTTTCGGAAAACCGGGAGTGGTGGCCGGATTTTCGGAGCTCAAGCCATGGACAAGCTTTGTTCTTGATATGGTAGGATATATGTTGAAGATGATGATGTTTTCTTTAATTTTTTT